AGATGTGTATAAGAGATATATATATATATATATATATACACGTATATATATATATACACGTATATATACTTCTAAAAGTCGTGTATCATGCATAGGAACGTTGACGCCTGCAAGGCTCTGGTTAATTTTTAAAGTTTGTTTTTGGTCAGAGTATGATTATTAAAAGAAGAATGCGTTGTTCTTCATCCTTTTAAGAATAAGTTGAATATGATCATGACCAAATAGTTGTCATAACATAAATTTTAGACTAATACTTTATTATTAACTATTATGAGATCATTCAACAAACAACATAAAACACCTGTACTGTATCAAAAATATAAAAAAAAAAAAAAATTTTGTATTTGGAAATATTTGAATTAAAATATAAATCTTACTTCCAAGCTTTCGTTACTATCTCAGCAACTTCTTCAGGGAAACTGATGTATTTACACAGATCCACTTGTCACATGATCATTCAAGCATGCAATAGAATTTGAATGATCATTAGACAACACCTCCTCCTATATGGTGGAAAATAACCTTTCCTGACTTCAAATTTTCCCATTGTAACAAAAAAAATATGTCAGCTCACGGATCCTAGAAAAGTAGGTGTAGATTTTTTTTAAATTTTCCTCCAGAATTGTGGGGGTGGGGGACCCCTCACCGCCAAACCCTAACTCCCATACCCCTCCAGATCCACCAATGTAAGATATGTAAGACAGAGCGACAGACCAACAGACTGATGGAATGACCGACCGACTGACATTGTTATTATTATTAATAAACTGCCTTCTAAACCAATAAGTGTAATGCAGGGCACCCACTGCGACTGCGTCGTACGACGAATCTAACTTCGCTCCCTGTGAGCAATAGACGACGCCACACCATGCCACTTGCTGGTTGTCGGTGGCAGTCTGAAAGGAATCGTTCTTCATAGAATCGCGTCGGCCGCTGATGGTTGGGCCCAGTGAATGCCCGGCTTAACTGAAATTGGGAAAACAGATGTTAAACTTAATTGGGACCATCGACCGACCACAACGAACCTGCGGCATTGTCGATCTTATGAACAATGCGATACCATTAAGCCATTGATTAGTGGTTACCAAGGTGAGCACCCTATATATAGGCATAGGTGGCCTTTTTTTAAAGTGCCCTCGCAAGTTTACACGCCATTATGAAATGTGCAGGCAACCTAATTTTAGTTCCTCCTATGTTTTTTCGCCAATGGCAGGGGTTTATTTAAGAGCCGGCGGCCGGCGCATTCGATCGGCTACTACGATGTTTTCGCCGGCTACTTCAATCAAAGCTGTACAAAAATTAATACAAAAACCACCAATATAAATAGCGCAACAGGCCTGTAAAGAACCTTATTTACCTACACAAAGTTAATTTGCAATAGTATGCACCAATTTCGATGTTCCTTTCTGTTGAAAGTTCGTTAAAATGTCTACCAATTCTCAGACTCCATGTTTGACTTTCATGAACTCACGGCGTAAACAAAGTTAAAGTTCAAAGTTCGGCAGTCGCGCCTGGGTGAGTCCATCAAAGAAGCCACGCCTCCAAATCACATGTTAGCCAATAAGATAATAGAAATTTCTCCTCCACCACGTGCTCAGGTGATGACTATTTACATCGCCCAAACTCTTTTTCCGTACATTGGGCTTCCGGGTTTTCTTACCGCGGAGAAGAAAAAAACAGATCATTTTTAAATTAATTTGTGTATGACTATGAACCTTTTATTTTCATTTTATTTTTATTTTACTAGCCCTCTTTGTGATGACATAGATATTTCAGAAATGATAAATAATTTTAAAAAAACCAACACTGGCTCAAATTCGTTTACACTCGGTGGCGGAGGTAGCAAGGCGAACCAACTATATTGAATGCTGTTTACACTCACAATTTCAGAGTTATAGATAGTAGGCCTACAATGATTAAAACGGCAAAGCAAGCCCAAATCGTCTCAATTCACGAAATCACATGAGACATTTTTTTCCAATGTGGTATCCATTCCTTTTCGATATCTGCGTAAATTTTAGAACTATTTTTTGCTCTCCTTATATGTTTTCTTTAACGCAGATCTAGGGGGCATAGGCCTAAAGGGTGAATCCTCACAAATTTCAACATATTTGTGAAAAGTAAACAATTTCATTCATCATTATAAAAATTGTATTTTCAATTTATTTTGGTGGATTTTTTATTAAATGTTTATAAACTTATAAAAGAATGTATTTCAATTATTGAATCAGTATTCTGACCTTAAATTCCGATGTTGTGCTCGAAAAATTCGTAAATTCTAGGCCTATTCTAACCTACTCAGTAAGTATACTAATTAATGAGGTTGTGATCATCACTGCATGTGATTGCACATGTGCAACCACCTGGCAGTGTATACTAAGAAGTTCAAATGGGAAACTAATTTTCCGTACCATATGACATACCACGATGTTCAATCATCATCAATCAATGTGTTTGAATCGATATTAGGCCTACAGGAAAATAATTTGTTATTAAAACATTGATAAACATTGTTCATTTTGTAGGATGCTTGAATACCATACAACATTAGGGAATATCATATGAGTGAGTAGTGTATGTGTGTGTAAACTTGTCTCTTTCTTATCTGTGCCTGGGATAGCCAGCTAAGTCCTGGTCCTAGCAACTGAGGTAGGCTGCAGGCTTATATGGCGCTCTTAAAGGCCTAGATATAGCCTACACAGTGGCTGTAGGCCTATCTAACCTAGGCCTAAACTCACGATACGATATTTTCAGCTATTGTATGATATTCCTCTCATGAATTAAATTTAGGCTTTTTGAGATTTGCGAAAGTTTAATGTCGCGAAAACGGCCGAAATTATCAATTCGCGAAAGTTTCAGGTCTATTTAGGCTAGGCCTATGTATGAAGATACAGTATATGTAAAAATATCAACTTTTTTTATAGCTCATAGTTGATTCTGAAAACTGTTTAAAAAAAATGATGTAGAGAAATGCCATCAAATTGGCTTAAAAAACTCTAATACCCTGGAGCGCAATGGCGCTTCGCCCCCTTGACCCCCGACCAGGGCTTTGCCCCTGGACCCCAATGGGG